ATAATGAAAGGAGATGTGAGAGCCAATTGTAATTAATACTAAAGAGTCATAACGAGTTGTAACAGAATGCCTAAAAATTTCTTCAGTCATTAAAATCATAATTTATGCCGTTACATCTAACATTAGCTGATTTAAAACAAGCATCAGTGACTATATGAAATGTTCGTAAACGTTCTGGATTAAAGTCTTATTTTTACAAGATTACAGACATTTATACCTCTGACTGTAGCATTTACCGCAAAATGTAATAATATATCTACACACATATCTACAGGCAATGTAGAATAATCGAAATATCTTTCATTGAGACGGCTATTTCTTTTAAGAAGATTTATTAAGACAAATTAATTATTAAATCAAATTAAACGTTTTTAAATTATTCATATCGTTTTGTTATACATATTATTTTCTACTCTTATTTTCTTGCTAATCTATCCAACATTTTTTTAATGTTTTCAATATTATGTAATAATTAATTTTTTTTATGATATTAAAATGTGACTTTTATACATATTTTTGCATATGTCTTCACGCAGACTTTTTTCGTTGGCGTTCGATGATCCAAATAGTTTGACGAAACCAATGATGAGAAGTCGTTTATTTCGAAACTGGCACAGTTTTAAAAATCTAGATATAATCGAATGTCTCGAAGATTCGTTAATGCGCGTTAAATTAAACCAAAAGCGAGAAAGAAAAAAAGAAATACAAAGGTGACTCACAAGGTGATGCACAAAAGTGAACGCGGTCTTGTAAGAAAAGAGAGCCTTGGCCTCCCCAGAAACATTCAGAATAGTAATCATCGCTTCGTTTCTTTCGACCTACGATTGCCTTCATAGATACATATATTACATATTCATTGTAACGTGGAAGAATATTCTACCGTGTAAATAATATATTAGATGCGCGATGGAGACAACGATATTTGCCGGTAATTAATATCCCTTTGTAATCTAAAATTTATAATATAAAAATGTCAGGTGTACAAAAAAAACTGTGCAAAAACTTCTTCGCAATATTTAAAAAATCCCCGATATTGTTACTTTATCATTCACCTATTACAGTGAGTACTAGCGCGTAATATAAATTATGTACTCTTTAATCGAATTCTTCAATTATTCCAAGCATTTCCTATTTGCATAGCAACGACATAATTATGGCCTCTTACCAATTTCTTTTGACTATAAATTTTTTCTTCCGGTTTTCATTTTATGTAACACTTTCGAAAAATAAAAAGCATCAAAGTCGTTGATCGACACAGAAGTTACATCAACATTACCGTTTTGTTCTTTACCGGATTTTCTCTCTCTACCGGTCGCTATTTGGTCCAAGTATAATTCCGGTATTGGAACAAGCCTCACGTGCATGTGTCGGTCTCTTCAGGTTCCGTGTTACGTGGCGCAAGTTACATCAGCATCGGAAATGCGTTCGCATTATATCTCGCACTATATGTGTCACTCGACAAAACGAAAAAGAGTGTAAACGAACTGTGAATTTCCATGAAAATAATGACTGCTGTAAATAAGGCGAAATGAAAGAGAAGGTCTGTATTCGGACTTCCATGAAAATTGTAATCGTTGATTCTTTATGATTAGAATAAATAGAGAATAATAATTGGGTAATGATTCTACAATTTGTAAGTAATTAATTGTAAGTGTATTATGTTAGATACGTATATATATGTACGTAATATAGATACGTAAATATTTATATATATATACACACACACACACACACACACACACACGCACACAGTATGTAACAATAATGTCATTAAATGTGTATTATTCAAGACAAATCATCTTCTTTCGTCATGAAGGAAAAATAATTGCGTCACCTGTCCTTTTTTTTACTGTCATTCCAATTTACTGACAAGTAACAAACGGAAACGTCGAGAGTGGAAAATCAATCCGTCGACAAGCACTCGCAATCCTTAGAACAACGGAAAATTACTATGTTATAAAACGCGACTTAATAATAAATATATAATTGAAGAGCTAGTAAGTATAATAATATAATATGTATGAATTTAATAAAAGATTGAAAATACTAAAATATTTACGCTGGCTTAATTTTTTTTTTTTTTTAATATTAAAGTTATATTTAAGCTCTAAAAGTAATCTAAGCAGCGGCGTAGCGCAAGGGTTCAAAAGCGATCCTCCAATTTCGATTGTCGGATAATATTTCAAGAATAGTTGCATACTTCTGGTTATAGTTACTCTCTGTTACATTTCCGCGATAACGGAGTAACATTTAATTATATATCTATTGTAATTTGCACCTCGGTCTTTTGTAACCAGTGAAAACTTGGATGCACGCAACGTAAATACTTGGAACGTATCGCTTTCAATTTTATTTTGCGGAAACTTTAAGTTTCGAACTTACTTTGGGTAATACCATTAGATGCGTCATTACGAAATATGCTAGATGTTATCCGATTAATTACGACTCATTTGAAGGATGTAATTAGGATGTAGTTTCAAATGAAATAAAATACTTGCAGATTTTATATCAAGATAAGCTGGCTCTTAATTTTAGAGAAAACAACGTGTGAAACATTATAACGAAATTAACACATGAAGCGGGTATATTATAATCATTTAAAAATAATTGAGTTATTTTACTTAAAAATGTGTATGTTTGCATTTTGACTCTTTCTATATGTACATAATTTTATGACTTTATGATGAACTGAAGAGAAAGTGGTTATAATATTGCAGTTATAAATTATACAAAACACGCGTTACATTTAAATTATATATGACCATGCGCCATGACACGTCGTAGTTGAAAAGATTTATTACAAAATTGAAAATTTCACTCTTTTTATTATGCTTATTTTATTTCGCAAATGAATGTTATATATTATATTCGATATGAATGCGTGATATAATAAAGCTTTCGTTTATAAATACTAAATTTTTTTATATGCAAACATTACTATTTCTATGCTCGATTAATCGTTTTTTATGATTTTCTCATCGCTTTATTTTCTTTGCCCTTTCGAGTTTTATAAAGGGTTTTATAGAATAGAGCCAATTCAGATAATACAAAAACACAAAAATTTGTTGTTCTTTTATTAAATATATCAGTATAAACAGGGACAAATGTGAACCAGAGATATTCTCCTTGCTAAACAAAGCGTGTCGAAAGTGCATGAGCATTTCTGTAATTCAAATTCCGTTTCCAAACAGCTTTGTTGGTAAAAAATTAGGTAAGAAAAATTTCACGTTTGTTAAACAGAGCAGGGTGATAGACGTAATGATCAAATACGATTTTTATCATTGATTTCTATTATTTTGAAAAAAATCAATAGGAGGGAATGATAAACAATATAGGTAGATAAGATTGAATTAGGCCAATAACTGACTTTCCACGATTTTGCGTAATTGTACATATTATATATTAATATGATATAATGATATAATGGTACGTATTATATATTAATTGCATGTATAATATATCAAATACGTAATTCTAATTACCCATCTGTTCAATGTCAACGATATCTACCCGGTAGGAAGTAAGTAATTTAGCGAGTAAATAAAAACTATGAAAACTATAGATACAACAAAAAATATGCAAAATTTCTAAATAAATGATTCGAGGCAATCCTTGGTATAATTATAAATAAAATCTTTACGAAGGATATCCCGATAAGCAATAAGAAATATAATCCCAAGTACAGTATGTACGAACGTAATTGCTTTTTTCCCATCGGAAAGGGTTACCTGTCTCTCTCAAGATGCGTGCAGCAACGTGTTTGCGCAACAATGTGTTCTCTACTTCCTATTATTTATAATAACCACATCTTGTTATAACGAGATATATTACACACGCATTGAAACCATTTGCTTCAACTACGAGTTATAAAACGTGAGAAAAAACAAGACGACTGTGTGGCGTCATTACAACTAAACGGCTTCACTTGAAAAATATTTGTACGACCTGTTAGGATGTTCCATGACCTAAGTGAGAGACGCTTTTTATGTTACGCGCTTTTATTATCAGCACGGCGCGCCGTAATTATCTACCGCGACACCGTTTATACGTTTTAATCGACGGGGATTTATATCTAATAGCCTGTGTCATCAGAGAAAAAAAAATAAAGTTTCACTGCTGCGATGTGTGCCGCTTTGTAATGCGAGTAAAAGTGATTGTTAGCAACGCATGGATGAACGTAATAAATGATAATCACATGACGTTAATTTAGATGTGTTTTTGTAATTGTCTGCGACAGCTCCGTAGTTGCTAAGCTAAACGATACATAAATCATGTGTCTGTGTATCGAAAAATGTGCTTTAAATAAATGTTCCCAGACATTCAGATCGAGTCCTATTTCGTAATTATTATACATCTATTCATCAATTACCTACTCAAGATTTTATTTACGCTTCAGTCTTCTGTCATGTCTTACAATGTGTGATATACATTATCTATCTACATCTCCGATATGTATGCCTCTTATACTTTAAGTGACTAATTATCGATTTTATCGATAATTGTTACGGAGCTTCCTGCCAAGGGGAGAAACAGATTTACATTATTATAAACGATAAATCCGATAAGGGAAACCTTGCTGTTTAATTGTCCGTACGTGCGCACATTATTTGAACGCAGATTTTGAGATAGACGCACTGGTGCGGCTGAAAATACTTGTTAATCAAAATGTTAAGTATTCTCTTTATCCAGGAAAAAAATCTTCCTAAATTGAAAACCTCGCTAGGCTGCGCAAGAAGAATATTAATTATATATTGTTACATTCGAAAGCCCGTTACACGCGGTTGCATATCCTGACGGTCATCTTCGAAGTATCCAACGTTTCGGTGATCGGAATGAAATTTATCAACGTGATCGATCCCTTCTTCAGGATCTCCCGTGCGGACTTGACAGGAGAGAACGCGAGGCAGACGTGGACACAAGTGTAGCGTGGAGGTGGTGCCAGGCCCCTCCTTCTAATAAAAGCCGCTCACTAAGCGCCGCTACACAGACAGTAACAGAAAACCCCGAAGAGAGCAGGAGCCCACCGAGAGCTCCTTCAGAGCCCCGCAAGATCTTTTTTTTTTTTAATTCGATTTTTACGGCGAAACCGTGTGACGGATAAATATCTGTGCGTGGTGAGTTCACACAAATCTCGGCGTTTCTAACTTCGTTCAGCGCCTTTTCCGAGCCGCTGTGTATACTCATCTTCAGTGTTCTCGTGGAGAATTTGCTGAACGCGACGACCACGTGGCCAGGTGGTGATAAGTGGGAAACTTTTGAGTTTTCGTGTGTTCTCGCGGACGAGTGCAGATTCGGACGACATTCTATTGCTCAATAGAATTAGATGTATACAGATAAGAGATATCTATATAATTATTAATGAAATGAAGAAATTGCAAATTTACTTATTGTTATCCGCGGGGAATTAGTATAATATAGTTTGGCATAATATAATATTATTTTATATTTAATGAAAGTGCTGCTGAGTCACGATTTTCCGGAGAAATCTCTTTCCATCTGGACGCACAGTTTTCTTAGTAATTACTTATCTGATGAAAACTCGACTTCCTTTCCGTACGAATAATAGTTAATAAAAACAAATATAATTTTTAAAATATTATTTGTCTTTGTGAGATTAATTGATATAGATTTAAAGGAAAGAATGGAGAGAGTAAAGAGGTACGGAAAAAAGTTGACAGAGTGAAAATCTTGAAATGGACCGGAACAATTAAGTTCCAGATGAAAATTGAAACTTACGACAATCATAGCACAAATTCGATTTGTCCATTCTTGAAAAATATCAAATTTTTCTTTCATAAGAAGTTTCTCGAAAAAATTCTCTTTATGTCCAGTTTGATTGCACTTATTTATTCTATTTTTATTGCGCACAAAAAGTTAGAAACGTTTTTTAACACCAATTTAATCGTCGTAATCCTGATTTAATGTTAGTTTTTATTAGATAAATAATTGTCTTCCTGAACGTAGCTTCACGTATAAAAAATTCCAGAGTATAATTATTTTTGAGAAAAAAATGGAAAAAGATCTCCGACTTTTCATTTGCATTATCATATCATAATCGCATTGTAAGTTTTTCTACGCGATGAAGGTATAGATGGAACGGAGATGCCAATTAAAACTAATTAACATGTGTGGCCTCGGAAATGGAATATTGCAACATTGTCCTCGATTAGAGGAGTGATGTGTACTGAATCTATATATTGTCTTAATGCCATTATATCGCCATGATCCATCCTCAGCGTGCCAAGTGCACGTGTAGTTATTTGCACATTATACATTGACATACACTGGCAAACTTCAAAATTCACACGCACATCAACAAATGTTCCGCAGTAAAGGCGAACATCTCTGATTTGCCATCTTGCTTTCCATCTAACAAAATTATTTTGATAAAGTCACTTATTTTCGATTAAGTAATCTAAGAAGAATTAAATTTAATGTTTATCGTTTCTTTCTTTCTCGTTTGCTAACTACTCCCACACGTTTTTAATCGATTTTTGTTTATTCCGGTCAGCGTTTTTGAGATTTACGTCACGAAATGGGCAACGATTTTAACCGATTGCAAGGAGCGAGCAAATTTTCCACGAGGCTCTGAAGAGGAAGCGCAGTGAATTAATAAACATAATCCTAATATGGACGTAAAACGCGGTAGGCGCACGAGTGTGTTTTATTAAAATCGCGACTAATTAAGGAGCTCGCGCGCACGTTATCTCTCGCCTTTCCTCCCGCGCCTCCTCCGAAGACGCCAGCAGCGTTCTCCACTTTCATTCCGTCGAAAGTGATAGTCGCGAACGGATCCATGTTCGAGAAAGGAGAGTCATTGCGCCTCTCCCTCTCGCTCTTCTCTCCGTGCGCCTTCTCGTTTCCTCCGTCTTGTCGTGATCCTCGCGAACGATTTCCGCTTTACCTTGTGACTTAGTCTTTACGTGTCTCTATGTGGAGGGGGGAGGGGGGAACAGAGAAAGAGACGTACTGAATAACATTTAAAGAAATTCATGAGAGAAGTAAAATTATAACTCGTGATAGATCTTTCACTTTCATCACGCGCACATTGTCTGGATATTTATTTTTCCGCGTGCACTGAGAAAAAAAATTATCTGTATTTTTTAGTAAATATTAGTTTGCAAACAACTATGACTCCATTTGCTAAAATAAAGAAATATTTCCTTTCTAATATATGTGTATTCACTGAGAAAAAAATGTGCTAATAAAAAGGAAAATTTTCTTCATTTTAATAATTAGAGTCACAGTTGTGTGCAAACAATATTTACTAAGATGCGGAAAATTGTTTTCTCAGTGTGCTTCGAAGAAACGGTGTATTTCTAGAGAAGCTAATCTAGGGTAATAATCTAGGGAAGCTTGTATGAGATATGCGTACAAAAGATCGTTTCCGAGAAATCTGCACTGCTGCGAATTAACACGAATCGCGAAAAAGATCCAGCGATATAAGTATAAAATTGTGTAGAATGTGAAAAACCGATCGCGAGAAATATGCGATGTTGCAACGCGTTAATGCGCACATTAGCTGCTACCGTAATCGTGAACACCGTGTTAATGTACTATATTGTTTTTGCAGAATCCATCTACGAATCAAGATGAGATTTACCATTCTAACGCTGACGGCTGTGCTTTGCCTCGCATTAGTGAGCTCGCATCCGCTTCCGGAAGACGGGCTCCGATCAGAGGTAAGCACGTGAGCGGCGCATCTCGTGCCTTTCTCTTTTAACATCGCCATCTATTTTGCAGAGATTAATTCGCGGCGTTAACAGCCACTTTTCCCATGCATTGTCGCTTAATTATCTAAGGCGAATGGCACGTGGCATGCAACTAACAGAATTCGAGGTCGAATTTCGTCGACAAGCGTCACATAGCGCGAAATTTTTACTATCTATTTTGCAATTAGCAGTGCAAGCGCCGATCGATTCCTGCATGACAATTTTATAATGATTTTTACTATATTATGCATGACGATTATAATGATATTTTACTAAAATCATTGGATTAGAGCAATTTCATTTTCCATTAACCTTTTCCATTAATCTTCACTTCTTCACTGGTCTTTATCTTTAATTCTTTCCCGTCTCCCGATTAAGGAGAAAGTCTGATTTGCAGAAAATATCTGATATTCGCAGAGAATTTCTCTGTATCGACGCATAGATATCACGTGCAAATTATTAAAATTATTAGACGATATGGGGGATAAAGCGCGAGATGATTCCTTCTCGGTCGCGAAAGTTCAGTCCACGTTTCGATCCGCGTGCTCGAGCTTAAATGCTCGATGGTTCGATTGATTCGATGGCCGAAGATGATATTTTACTTTCAACGAGTCTTTCACTCGGACAGTATGCCGCCGACGAGACTAGTAGTAACGCGAACGAAACGGCGGGAAAACAATCGCGATTGATATTTTACGACTAAATATCGTACCTGCGGTCTGCAAAAACCGCAAATAAGAATTTGTTTTATTTAACAACACGGTACTCTCTCCGAAATGCTGGCAAACGCGGAAAAAATTCTCCTCATTGTTCTCACCGCGGTGAATACGTTTTATCACGAAAACGCTTTACACGCTCGTGAAGTTAATAAAATTTACATAAGATAGAGCGCTTCCATATCGTGCTGTAATAGAAATCTTTTACGTTTGAAATATTATCCATAACACGTCATCGAAAGTTGTTCTGTAATTCTTGATTTTCTTCGAAAATCGTGGCACGGCACGATTGCCGTTATTACATGACTTCTGGAATCCATATAGTTACTCGAAGAGCTCGCCTTTCTTTCATATAGCTCACTTGAACTTACCGTTTACCGTAATTTATTTATAATTACTATACTTTACGTAACGCCGCTACAATTTGAGACCACGCAATGCGCCAGGCACGTGCGTAAGTACGGCGGAAGAGTGATCGCTAGCTGGACGGTTACATGACACTACAATGAGAGTTATTCGTTTGGAAAACATTTCGCGCGTAATGTTCGGATACGAGGGCCGTGCCGTCGTGGTGAGGAGTTCAATGTTTCGGTTATGCGGCCGTAAAGGAAACGGTGTAACCCTCAAAGTATACGGTCCGACGAAAAGCCGGGTCGTGCGACCGGCTCTCGTCCTCGCTCCGACACTTTCACTGGCCGCGAACACCAGCGCGGAGTTAACGCCGGACACTTTCTTCGGTCGATAGGCGCTCGATGGGAAAGCTGGTGCGTACGCACAAGTGCAATTTAACAACACGATATGATATACGGAACATTGTGTACAAACAAATCACTGGCCGTACAGTGACCGATTCGCATTTTTCCTCAGTCGAGGAATACGAGATAACGAAACGGGAGATATCGTGAGCGACGTTTAGGGATAAGTATAGATACAGAGACATAAATAGCCAGGCAAACAGGAAAAACGGCCTATTCAAAGCTTGAAAGATTTATTAGGACTCGCAAGGATAAGCCGTGGGATATAAAAATATTTAATTGGGGACTGTGTGTTAAAATGTTATACAAATAGATAAAAAATTGAGAGGTATATGGTAAGGCATTTAAAGAACGTTATACGAGAAAGTATAAATGTTATCGTATATATTATCATAGAAGATGATGCATGTATTAATTCTCTCGCCCTCACTTTTCAAGATTATATATTTTTAAGCGTGCGGAAACAAACTTACGAGCGAAATTCGTTGGCCAAAGTTGAGACGGGCGAATACGATGGTGATCACATGAATGTGAAACGAGGTTTAAGGGAAAGTGTACCATAATACTTCGGTTGAGCAACATTTGGGTTCGGTGGCCGTCCATTGGCCAATCTAGCTCCATTCGCGAAATTTAATGCGAAACTGATGTAAAATGCACACTGATGAAATCTGAATAGCCTTGTCATGACACAGATTGTCCTTCAATGAGACAAATGTAGTCGAATGTTGATTATTTCGTAATTTTCGACTGAATTAACTATGGAAAAATTTCAGAATTTTACAAACTTTAATATATTCACATGCGCAATCTTTGCTTTTAAATAAATACTTGAAAATACACTTGTTGCGTGAGCTAATCGATTTTGACGATCGACGTCGACGAAAATAGCGGCCATCAAAATCGTCATGTATAATGTATAATGTAATGAATTTTAATCGCGGCATACGTAAATTGGCGTGGAATTGACGAGGATTTTGTCATCGTGTCTTCGTAAAGGAAAACAGTAAAGTAGTCGACAAAAGTCTCCGTTCAATATCCAGTGGCGCTTAAGTTAATGATCCTTGCTTGACTACCATCTAACACGAAGAACGTTACACAACACAATTACCTTAACATTCTCAGACGCACTAAATTCCATGGCCTTTACCGTACATTTTCAACCCGAGCGGGAAAATTATACGCATCACGGTACTTCCTTATTTGTCTCGCTACTTGGCGCGGATATACGCTTCGCGATATTTTAACGCCACTCTGACATAAACGATGCACAGATCATTTTAACGAAAAACAAAGGGGGGTAAAAGGGACTCCTATTGGCAAATTTCTTCTTCATTGTCATCGTAAATCAAAATTATTTGTCTAACGCTTCGCGAGACACGTGTACACCCAGTGCTCCATGCACGTATATTCCGTATATAGGTTGAAAGATCCCAGTTCATACATACTTCAAAAGTAGTTGCGTAACTGTAGAAGTCTGCGACCGCTTACTTTGAGTAGATAGGCATTTTCTCGCGTGGCAAAACACCGGCTTATTAATCCGCAAACATGTATCCTCAAAGATTTGAGATCCACGAGAGCGCACGAGCGATCAAATCTCGATAACGCTTGATATCACCAGCTGAGAAGTGTCGCCGCTGTCATAAAGAAATCCAAATTCGAAATTGCTGTCGTAACGGCAGGGCCAACAAGAGAATAACTTTCTTTCAGGCCCTTGATCGGCTGGTGATGGCCGAAGCCGACAGCGAGGCCGCCCTGAGGAGCAAACGGACGATCGGCATTCTACGACAGCTCTTCCCCGATATTTCCCAGGTGAGCAGTCGTGATACGTGTGAATGTCAGAGAAATCCTGCAGAAGGCCAGGACTGGACTGACAACGCCGAGCGGCGTTTTAAGTAGGCGAGGCTGTACATAAATTATCATCGCAGATTATATACCTCGCACGACAAACACTATCAAGGAGCAATACGACACGTCCTTGAGCGATTAGCATTCGGGCAGAAATGCACTAAGAACTTTTGACACTCGTCGACACTAGGACTTTTTGCTTTCGTCTTGATCTTTGTAGATCTGTGATCGTAAAGAAAAAAAAAGCGATATTCGCTGAAGCCTTTACATTCTTACCGAGAAAGTAACGCATACGATTTGAGAGGCAGCCAACGGCATTAGCCAATATACTACCTACCCTTTGCTCATTCACTCGTACGCTCACGTATGGATCGATTTGTTTCGATCTCATTCTATACGGGTTTATTTCGCATGAAGAGAGCGGAAGCGAATTCGTTATGTGTTCGCGCTTGCAAAAAGAAAATAATCGCGCTTCCGTCGATCCGTTAACTACACGAGATTTCTCGAGTTCTCGTTTTTCCCTTTTTTTTCCGAATCCTCGCCTCGATCTCGTGCCAGTTATACAATGAGAATTTTCATGAGATCTCCGCAAACGTTATTAGGGGGAAGTTTCATTACGGTCTCTGAACAAAAAATTGCGCAGTGCGAGGTAATCGTTCGTCGACGGAATAAGAGAAGCTCCCTACCTATAAAAGACTAAACATTCTCGGGAAAGTTCCTTTCTTGCGTGTGAAATTCCTTCTGGCCGCGCTGCCTATTGAATTGTTCACGAATAACTTCCTAATTTGACTAATAATGCGCTATGCGATTTTTTTTTGTCTCGTTAGGAAATGGCTTCCTCGGCGCGTCGGCCAGCGACGGCCGGCCTTCTCTCGCATGCGGTTGCATGTGCGTGCACATGCACGACAATAACGATTGATTTAGTAACGAACCTCGCAGAATAGCGTTGAGTTTAGTTATTCCGCATTGCCGCGAAGTTGCGGTTTGCGCGAGCCGGACGATCGTTTTCGCGAAGGAATGTCGAAATTTCTCCGGTTGTAGCGTCTCTCGAATGATTGGACGAGTGTGCACGACAAAATTGACGACGGTCTCACGAAATGAGACGGTGGGTCCTCTCGGGTTTTACGGAATATAACTGCATTTCAGGACACTCTTGTCTTTTAATTCTGTTTTTGTATTTAAAGTTGGATCGTAAAATTTTCATGGGAGATACCTGCTCCATTGAGCGCCGAGTATTATGTAAAAGCGCTGAACCTTATTTCCTATGACTTATACAGCGCCTTTGAAAGGAAAACCTGGTATTAAGCGATAATATGATAAAACATAATAATGTATCAGTCATACTTAAGCACAGCATCGATCAATCGCACATTCATTATTAAACGGACGATTGATCAGATTAATCGAAAAGATCCTCCGACAGACCGGAAGCAACGTAAGTTCCACATCATTCATAGATAAAAAAAACTATCAACGATCACTGCCATGGGTCGATCGATATCATACCATCACGGCCGCAAAGCAAAGCGATGTCTTGAAGCCCGAGTAAAAAAAAATTTAAAAAAAAACAGGAGGATCGAGCTATCGCCACGCTGCAAGGTTGTCCAAGCTAAGGCCTGTTGTTTTCTAGAGAATCGAAGAAAAAGTCAACTCTATTATCGCGGAAGTCATTCGCGTCCTTGGCCCGGTCATCCTCCGTAATGTTCTTGGCGGTGGCGGCGGCGCCGGTGGCGGCGGCGGCGGCACGTCCCCAGGAGTCCAGAGGGACGACGACGGCACAAGCGTAGTAGGCATGTCGCCCTTCGGAGATGACGATGAGGACGACGAGTCGTCGGCGACCGCCTCGAACGGTTCCAAAGTGTCGATCTCTCTGCCGACGTTTCCGCCCGACGTGGAGGAGATAACGGTGACACAGAGCAGAGACAACATTATCTCTACGACGACCACTACAGCGACGCCAGGAACAATATCAACAACAGTATCACTGTCAGAAAACGAGGTCACCACTACGCTGTGACTGTTTGATCAGCAGCTCGGTAAAAGTTTCGAGGTCATGACCTTGAGGAATCCTCATCAAGGAATGCAGAATGCCTCGCAGAATGCCTTTACCGCGCATTCAGGACTGCCGCGGCACGCACGTTGCCTTTGTGTGCTAAATTAATCCACTGGGGTACTCGAGAAAACGAGGATCGAATCGATCGGCCGGCCACTCGATCGACCACTCAGATCTCGAAGGATCTAATGTGAAACCGCTAAGTTACCGCGCAACCAGGACTGCCGCGGTTGCGCACGTTTTTTCGTACATTGCTAACTGTTTTTTTTTTTTTTTTCGTCATCGTGTCTGCTATTTATCTAGCCATTAATCGATTAATAATGTTGTATTGGCAACTTATGCCGCCACGATCCATTATTGCGATCTTACTCTACTATAGACGTACAGAGAGTCCACCGGAAAATTTTATTCTACTGGTTCTGGGTTTTTTCCATCCTGTTATTTCAATTATCTGTTCGTGTCTCTCGTCTGCAATTCATGCTATACATGTGTATATGTTTATATATATATATTCGCAGAACTCATTCAAAAACTATATACTGCGTCTATCCAAACTCTCACTTCTTCGTCATCTAACTCGGACATAAATGCAACATCAGATTTTAGTTTTTATCGTCTCGCGTTTTTCTTCCCTCATATGACGCCGAGACCATTTTTCAACTGCCAGATAATTTTTTTCATTGTGGTTTACGGGTCTTGAAGTTCGTCTCGAGAAAAATCTTTTCATCAACTAGTCTTCTTCGATCTTTCGCTCTGTCATCTCTATTTTCAGTACGCTAATTACGTTTCAGTTATTTGTTGCCGCAGGATAAATCAGTCTAGCCCGCTAACAATCTTGAAAAATACCTTGCTTATTATACGTTTCTTATGTAATACCTGCAGGATTATTGCAGAGATGTAAGACTTATTTAAATAGTATTTACATAGATTATCTGTAATCAATGATCCGATACTCAGCTTTTTCTTTGAATTGAATCATTGGCTATTACGTGACACATCCGAGACAGTACAATCTAACATAAAAGTCTAACATATATTTGTTGAAAACATTTTGTACAACTTGTAATTAATGCTATTTTTGTCGCTTAACTATGCATGTTACAAACTTTATAACGTATCTGTCTTATTTGTTTATAATTCGCATGTTATTTGTTCCATTCTTACGTAAAATTAAAATTTATGTAGCTACTCCGAAAGACTCCGAAGGGTAAATATGATATTGATCATTCTTGCTTTAGCTGTGTGGTGCACGAAAAATCTCGATCGAAAAGTTAAATTTACGCAACAGAACGGAAGTTATATACGTCATGAATAATTTATAGGAATGCTGGAATATTACGTGGATCTAACTACACTTTACAGACCCTGAAATTATGCAAGTGGCCTACTTGTCGATCGCGATTTTTTTGTGCACCTCTTCTCGTCGAAGGAATCAATAATGATCAATGATTAATAATCCGAAGTCATTAACAATCTGTGTCACAATATATTTATCTCGTATGAGTGTCGCTTACGCTACGAAACGCAGTACGCACGTAATAAAAATGATGAAACGAATAAAATTACTCTTTGTCCGTTCCGGGGCAAAAAAGTTCGCGCGGGGCATCGCGATTTATCGCTCGATCCTTGTCAGCCATAGGTAACATTTTTTTACAGGACGTGAACCCGGAATCGGAGAATCGAGTGAACGAGATCGGCTCGGAGTCGCAGAACAACGAGGTGCGAGTGCAATTCGCGGACGAAGTGCCGAGCGAAAATTCGCCGCAGGAGCTGACGCCATTGGATGAGACCGAGACACAGGAGGAGGACGAGAACAGGGACAAGAGATTCCTCTTTGGTTTCGGCGGCAATGCCGGCGGTGGCGCCGGGTCAGGCAACTTCCTCTTCGACATTATCAGGGTGAGTCGCGGTATCGAGTCTAGATGTACTTCTCTTTGATAACGCTTGCGTGAAAAATGGAGAACGGAATCGCGCCCGAAGAAAAGACTACGAGAGGATGTGATAAGGAAAAGCTAAAGGAGGCTCGCTGTTGCGTCGTTAACGGTGCGCGCCGCGATCAATCTCGGATAGTCGGATATACACTTGATATTCCAGTAACGAGCGAGTTAACCGCAAGGTCTGCATCTAGCTGCAGACGGCGGTGAAAGTGAGGCAACCGAATTGCCTTTAGCCGCGCTACCGCACCATCTGGTTACTATTCCAAGGTTCCTGACCTAGGCACGATCGGGCCTCGCGATAGAATTACCTTAGTCAAGATTCTCGTCGACCGGAGCCGGTGTCCTTGATTAAAGTCCACCGCGAATCCGCGATTTTATATGTGGGACGCGATAGAGAGATGCCGTGAGTTAATTAAACCGGGAATTAACGATAATGGAAAATAGATCGGGTAATTTTACCATGATTGCAAATATCATTTGTGGTCGAATCAGTTTTAATCCTTCGTAGTCTAACTTGAGTCAATGTGATCCACACTCATTTGGATCTAAATATCAGCTAAATGCCTAGCTTAAAGTAGGGCTTGATCCGCCATCTACAAGAGTTTAAAGTATCCTCTATAGGTAGATCATGTACTTGTTCACGATTTTTTTTTTTACGTGTTGCCATTTGATTTCTCATAAAATCGCAATTGTTTTATATTCTAGAATGTTCAAGGTATGTTCCAGAATTATTTAAACCCGATCAGACCGATACCATTAAAATGGCAACCATTAAAAATCGACTGGGTCAATATGACCCAGTGTGACTACCACGGGATTCTAGAGAAGTGTGACTACGAAGGGTTAATCTTTATTACGAAGAAATACTTTGTATATACTTATTAGACTGTATATACAGCTTTCAAGTTTTTTTTTATAAAAAAGATTTCTAATTAAGAATTGAGAGTAAATCAGTATCAAATATTCAATAATTACAGTGTGTACATTCATTAACGTTATAAAAGATACGCGTCGACGTTTAAGAATTAGGGCTCATACGCAATGAGAAGAATAAAGAACAAAGAATTAAACATAGAGAGAATTCGTAGTCGCATCTTTTTTCAACACGGTCTTCTTTCTTTTTTCAAGACACGGAATTTTCTCCATGTTTAATTCCTTATAAAGCGGGGAGCACACACTTCTGCACAACGCATAATGCGTAAGCATATTAAGAAAATTGATTGGTCAATATACATATGCATAAGGAAATAGACCAATCAATTTTCTTATGATTATGCATTATGCGTCATGCAAAAGTCTGTGGTTTATATTCCTTTCATTGTGCACGAGTCCTTAAAGGTCTATCCAGACAAACTTGCATAGCGCATAAACATAAGCAAATTGATTGGTCCATATACATGTGCATAAGAAAATGGGCCAATCCATCTCTTTATGCATATGTTTATACACCTATGCAAGTTTTGTCTGGATAGACCTTAAGGTAAGTGCGCGAGGTGTCGCAAGATACCGCTAGATTGCGCATCGAGGTATAACAGGATTTTTGCGAGAGCGTTCTGCGGTCAATAGGATGCGATTTATAGGTGACTCGTGACGAGCCGATGAGAGATGTCGCGGTGTGGAGAAATGAAACTGTAACCTAACCTGATTATCTCTTCCCCTTATACCCCCTTGTCCCCTATACCGGGCGCTCTCGCTGGTCCCAAACGGAGAGTTTATTTACCGCGGCATCTTTAATTTTTGCATTAAATCTCGTTATTCGTTATCTTAAAGAAATACTTTTTGTTGAAACTAGTATTGATGATGGAAATCACTCGTACCACAATATACATATTTTTTCAGTATTGTATTATTTAGTTAATTTAGTATACTTAAAAAAGTTAAATTTTAATTATATAATTTTAATTTATTTTAATAAATTTATTTCAATTTTAATTGAATTTTTGAATTTAAAAAGAATTTGTTGCATTGATAAATTGTTGTCCTAATAAGTCTAACTGTGCCGGACGTGCCGACGTAAATCATTATTTTCCGTCGCATGTACATTTTTCCGTGGTAAATGGATTGTGCGTGTTGTGTCGTTGCGTGGAAGTGCGTGAACAATAACGGTGTGGAAAACCAACGACACACTCGGCGACCGGTTTTTTTTTCTACTCGCAGCGTCTATATCGGCGAAACGAGTTTTTCGTCGACGGGACAGATGCAATCACGCGAAAATCGAGTCACCGTTTCCAATGGCCGCTCTCTGTCACCGTTATCCACTTTCCTGGCAAAAAGACGTTATTACGAGCGATTCGAAGCAATTCTAGACCGGTCGGTCGCGCCGCGACCCTTCACCGTTCGCCGATTGAGAAAACGAGAAACTCGCTACGTGACGGACACTTCATTTGTTCCCGCCGCGGATATCCACCTGTTAATGAGCGACGAATTATGCCAGATTATGCCAGAGATACCTTGCCCTCTTATTTGCATTTACAAAAACAAATTATATCTTATATAGATTTCACTTGAAATTCGCAGCAAGATTTTAAATTTTAACGATTGAGAAATAGAATTGACATTTAGCATTTAGCATTTAATTATGGCATGAAATTAGACGGAAAGAGTTTAACGATCGTGAAGTGATGTTTACGGACGGATTTAATTGGGACGTAAAAGAATTAATCAGAGATGATAATTATTCGGAGATAATTAGTCGGAGCGATATATAATAAATAAAGAGGCGGATTTTTGAAGGTATCTGGTAGTAATTTTTTCCAATGACATTTTAGACCGCGCGACATCGCAATCGGTCAACAACAGGCTTTCAACTATTGCGGCGTGCATATTTATATGTGCAAAGTTCATATGAAGAAATGGTACACGCAATACCGCTATAACGACATCGACGCTCTCGCTCGTTGATATCGAACCGGCTTTCCTTCCACGTAACCTTCGCCCGCCAGAGACACACGTGTCGTTAAGCAAATAATTCCTCTCCATTTTTCACGACGGCAAGACGAACCGAACTGCGTCTCTGATAAAATTCACCGGCGGCGATCGAGCGACCATCCCCCCAGGCTCCTCCCGGAGGGCCCCAAGCCCCACCTCGTCGCAATCAATGGCGCTTTTTTAACGAACCACTTTCCAGCCATCATTGCAGGACGTTCCAGAGGATATCGCGCGGAGAGTTCCGCCGGGAGAGATAGCGATCTCTCGCGCGCGATATCGCGCGCGGGGGGGCGGACGACCGGCGGAAAATGTGAACGAGAGAAACGCGATTCTTCCAGCAAGGGGGCAAGGGGGCAAGAGAGCGCCAAAGTAAACGAAACGTTCTCGTCTCTGTTCTCGTTTAGCAAGCGGCCGACGGGGCGGCAAGAGCGGCGGGCACGGTGTACCGTGTCGTGGCCGGTACACAGAGCCTCGGGCTCGGGCTAAGCGCCTCGCGCGACGTGGGCCCGGCCGCCCCAGCTGCCGCCAACCCCGCCGGCGGTACTGGCACCCCGACGTCCGGCGCACCCTCGACCGCCGCCCCAGGAGCCGGCATTCTACCACCGGTACGCCAAATCCTTCCGACACGCCTAAGTGTCCGCCGACAGAGTATACGGCGACTGCGCTTCTTCGATCGGGCCCGATAACGCCGGATGCTCTCGCATACGACATACTTTTAGAGAGCATCGATCGTTCGGCTCGACACTTTGATAACAGAGAGTCCGTCGAACGATCTATGTTCGCTCTGAAAGCCGAGGAAAACGATCGTCGGCATCGGAATGGGCACGCTGTGCGCTTTGTCGCTTCGCGCAAGAAGACACGACGCATAATGTGCATTGTGCCGTGAATGGACGAGCGTTTTCTTCTATTTGTCAATGTGAGACAGTGGACGGTTGGTGCTGCACGCATATATCACCAATCGAATTTATCGGGTTCGCTCACTAACTCTCTCTTTCTTTCT